AAGTGCGAGTGATATGTTTGTATGGGCTTATCGGCACTCAGCAGCAAGTATACCACTCACAACTCTCTGATGTCTAGTGGTGTTAGCTTCTTATACACTGGGTGCTTTAACCTTTATCTGGTCAAGTCAATGTAAAAGTACATGGGCTGGCAGGATAAGGGTTTATTTACTTGGTAGTATCAACAACAACAACCACAGAACACACACTGACACTTTCATGCCAGCAGCTTTAAAGTTTGTAGTGGGAAATATGTCCAGTAACACCATATCTGGTCTCTCATTAATGAGATAACCACCACCTCTCAACCAAGACACTGTCAGATTATGTAGACCACATTTTGATAAACCACTACATTATCAGTTGTCATTAATGCTTCAATAAATGACACAAGACACAAGGTTTTGGCAAAAGTGGAAGGGGGAGCGAATTGCTGACGCAGGCGTCGCAGCGAACAGCTCCATGATGCGACTCGCCTGTGAATTGCATCATGGCGCTGAGCGCGTGGTACCTGGTTGCAACCTTCCACCAGCAGAGACTGTACAGGCGGGCGTCATGGCTGGCGTCCCCCTGGCGGGAGCCTGCAGATAGACTCACAACCCCAGGAGGATGGACAGCGTGGGTACCCGTGTAAAGTCTGCTTGGTCTGTGGTGGAAACCCCCTTACCTGTTTATTGCTAAGGTTGTTCATGAGCAGATAAACATGAGTTACACTTGAGTGAGATCGGTAGTGGTATAGAAAGTGGTTATATAGAGACCTTTGCATGAATGGGTGGGTGGGAGGTCTGCTGAGACGATGTGTATCGTACGGTGCGGCAAAATGAACTGATGCTTGAAGAGGATGCGAGCACGGATAAGCAAATGAACAGTCTGGCGTTAATTAATGTAAATCCGACTGAAGGACGAAATGTGAGCAAATATTGCATGAAGTACAATGTGGCATGGGAGGTGTCAAAATATGAAAGGGGGATGTCAGCTTGGTCAATGCATGTCATAATTGAGCATTAACACAGATTATAAATTATATTCATAATCATACTATTAATGCTTCAATAAATGACACAAGACACAAGGTTTTGGCAAAAGTGGAAGGGGGAACGAATTGCTGACGCAGGCGTCGCAGCGAACAGCTCCATGATGCGACTCGCCTGTGAATTGCATCATGACGCTGAGCGCGTGGTACCTGGTTGCAACCTTCCACCAGCAGAGACTGTACAGGCGGGCGTCATGGCTGGCGTCCCCCTGGCGGGAGCCTGCAGATAGACTCACAACCCCAGGAGGATGGACAGCGTGGGTACCCGTGTAAAGTCTGCTTGGTCTGTGGTGGAAACCCCCAAATTTAAAGGCAGGATGATGTGTTGCGGGAGATGGGCTTTACACGAAGAGTAAAACTAACTGATAATTTACCCCAAAAAAACAAATTGAAAAACTTGCACAGCAACATAACGAACATACTGTAAATAAGAAAAAGAAGCACGCTAAAGAGACCGATAAAATTACAAAGTCTGTCGCGATAAGATAAAACAAAGCATGGTTAGACCGATAAAACATTAAACTAAATACACTGCAAATACACGTAGCGAAAGCGAAATGAAATCTCAAAACAAATGACGAAGATACAGTAAAAAGAAGAGCAGTCAGCAATGGACAAGTGACCCAGACCTGATTGGATAATGCTGGGGGGTGTGCTAATGTACCGTAGGTCTGGTAGGCGTCGCTGCGCCACCTGCCCAGTGCCTTGATCAACCAGTCCGGGAGATTGCGTTGGCAGCTGTCGTGGCTGCACCACTGCGGAAACTGTGAGTAGTGTAACGGTTAACATCTGGCATAGATGCGCGAGTGAGGTCTTGAATGTGGTTGCTAACAGCTTGCCGCGTGAGGAAAGTACGTTTGGAAAACTGGAATGCAGGTAGGTGAGCGACGGAACTATGTAGTGCTTTGTACGCCTGGTATGCCTGCACAGCGCAGACCGATGACTGTGAGGGTGCGATGATGATGTTACATCCCCGGCGGAATGGGTCTGTCTTAGAAACCTTGAGCGCAATGACGAGGTCTGTGTTGCAAGTGATGTCTGCCGTCAGTAAAGTGCGTTGTGGGTCGAAGGTGGTTGACACGGGTGCGACAAATTCGCTGACTCTCAAGAAGCCGAAGAACGCCAGTGTAAAGGCAGACCACAACATAGCTTTGTCATGGTTGCAAATAGTGGGATGGTTTGCGACGGTGTTCTTAAGCATTCGCATCAGTGCAATGGTGATTGGGAGTTTTATACGATTTGGCACGCCGTGATGTCTTTTAATGCCTTGCATAGTGAAGTGAAGCAGAAGGTCGTCACGTATTGATGAGGTGAAGCCAGTTTCGATGTGTGCACGGATGATAGCTGCGAGGTAAACTTTTAGCGTACCATAGGTAAGTGACGACGTTGCGAGATGTGTCATAAACAGAATCGTTGAGCGTTGCGTTAGTGGATAAGGATTCATTCCATACATACGACAGAAGAGAAGATAGCGAGTTTGTCCCGCATGATATGTCCGTTGTGTACCTGGTGCAATGCTCAGGTTGATGTAGTGGCAGGCTTGTTGTGTGAGGTTGACGGGACTACGTCGCACATCGGAGCCGTTAAGAGGGTGCACAGGTCTGGAGTTTTGGTTGGGACCCAACATGAAAGTTATTAGATGCTGCAGTGAAGAACAGCAGTCGGACAAGTTGCATAATCCGTGGACATGATGAGGAGCCTTTTTTCCATATTTGGATAACTGATATGTTATCGCAGTGAAACCGTACTCGAAGACCATACCACAAGTGGCCCCAAATTAAGGAAGATGGTTTTTCGTCTCGGTATCGCGACGATTTCGTTGAGACTTGCGACCGCCATG